GGGGGGACGACAGGCTGGACCTTGCACATCTGTGTGAATCCATTTCCTCCATGGCCACCCTGAGTGGTGGTGCTGTTACTGTCTCGGGTTACAGATGTTGAAACAGAGCGGCACCATAGATAGCGGGTTCTCGCAGCCTGCCCGAGGGTCAGGCTTGGCAACCTCCTGCGTGCCTCCCCCTAGGGGTAGCATGAGCGCCCACTGCCCTGGAGCCCCCTCTGGTGAGACTTGAAAGGAGGTGGCTCAGGAGCGATCCCCACCCCTGGCGAGGTGGTGGCTCACCAGACTGCCCCCTAAGCCCCTCCAGCCTCTCTTGCTGCCACCCTTGAACACAGGGTGACAGGCGAGGCTCAGGTGGCAGCTGATATGAAGTCAGTGCAGAAGTGTGGAGAGTGCCAGAGAGAGAGCGGGAGCGTGCCAAGTATGTGTGGTTGCTCAGGCGAGCACCTGGGAGGCAGGACAGAGCCAGCAAGTGGGTGTGACAGTGTCATGGGCCTTGGTGACAAACCGAGGTTTTGATGTAGCAAGGAACCAGCGTCCGAGTTTGAGATCTACCGTGCTTGCTCCCCGAAGCAGGGTTAACGCATGTGGATGGGTCAGGCTCTTGTGACATTTATGCGTCTTCTCTAAATAGAAAATCCTATCCCCAGAGACAGAGCAGAGGGAGGAGACTCAGGCGGGCCTGGAGCCTGCATGGGGGCACTCATGCTGGGGGGTGGGCAGCATGTATGGGGTTACTGTGTGGCGCCCTGGGGCATATGGGGCCTGGTATGTGACTCAAAGACATGGAACCTTCTGAAACATGGCTCCCACGTCACGATGTCGGTGTTGCCCTGGTCTGTGGCTGTTGCTCAGCTACCCCTCTGCCCCGTTGCCCTGTGAAATAGTACACATAGCACCCATGTGCCTGTGTACGTGTGTATTCTGGGGATGGGTCTCTGCACTGACGGGAACATACTGTGTCCTGCAGCTTGTCGTTTTATTTCAAGAATACTGAAACATGTTAAGAGTAAATGCCCTAATCCCTTCTCTGTAACAGGTGGACAACTGTCCCACCTGCCCCGCTGCAGAGCTGTGGGCAGTGGTTGGAGGGAGGGCGGTGTGGGCACAGCGGGGGCCTGGCTGGGCCTTTGGTTAGAAACCTCAAGGGGAGCTGAGGGTGGTCGGCGACAGACCTGCTTCCCAGGTGGGTGGAGAAGTTCGCTGTGGCTAGAAGTGTCCCTGCTGATGAGTGGGCAGCTGGGTGAGCAGAGGGGAGCTCCTGAGATTTAGATCTCCGGGGAGGGTGAAGGAGATGGTGGGTTCTGTGGGTTTTGGGGTGGAGAAGGTGTGTGCAGATGCGGGTGGGAAGGTGCCAGCCATTGTCGTGGGAGGGATGGGGAGAGAGCTGGTGAGGGGAAGCCTGCTCAGACCCCTGGACCTGTCTGGTGGGATCCAGGCAGGGTTCTAGGGTGCCTCCCCTGGGGTGGGGGAAGAGGCTCCCCGGGAGACTGGGGAGGGTCGACCTGGGGTGAGGGCAAGTCCCGGGAGCAGGTCCTATCCAGGTGGAGGGACCAAGACAAGATGGCTCCATGTGCCCGAGTAGCCTGGACCCTGATGCCCAGAGACGAGTGCTTTTCCCTTCACAGGTCTCTGCGCCTTTGCCTCCCTACCTGTCAGGTACCACAGGGGCGATGCGGCCCCATTACCTGCTGCTTAGTGCTGTTGTGTCCCTTTAGGTCCGAGTTCACTGACACTATCTTGTCCGTTCATCCTTCCGATGTGCTGGACATGCCCGTGGACCCCAACGAGCCCACCTACTGCCTCTGCCACCAGGTGTCCTACGGGGAGATGATCGGCTGTGACAATCCAGACGTGAGTGTTGGGCATGCTGTGGCGGGGTTCTGCCACAGGACTCGGGGGCCTTGAGATGGGAAGCGGAACACTGTGGCATCCCCCTATGGGAGGAACCCCAGGCTGGGTCCTGTATCAGGTGGGGTGGGGTTGGCGGCACACAGCAAGCCAAGTGCTCACTGTGGCTCTCCCCCCACCCCCACCTTGCAGTGTCCCATCGAGTGGTTTCACTTCGCCTGTGTAGACCTGACCACGAAGCCCAAAGGAAAATGGTCAGTATGGGGCACTGCTCTGTCTCCTCTGAGACAACGGGGTGAGGGTGGGGGTGGGGGTGGCTGGGCCTAGTGTGACTGTCCCTGCTCGGGCCCCCGGTGCTCTGGGGATGGTTGCGGGGACTTGGCTGTGTCACATGCCAGTCCTGTGTCCCCAGCCAAGTTGGTGAGGACCATCTGCTGCCTACCTCACCTGGGGCATCTTTTGTTATACTTGCATAATACCTACTTTTCCGTAGAATGGCCATTCTGAATCTTGAGTCAGGTAGCGATAACCCTAAATAAAAATGAGAAGTGGGGGGTTCTTTTCTGCTGGGGAAGTTTGCGAGGACAGTATCAAAGGGATGGGACCAAGTGTCAGGCCCCTGCTCAGGGGTGTACGTGCCCAGGAGGACAGTGCTCATGTCCATCCTGGAATTCAGGTGTCCCTGTGATGTCATTTAAGTAAAAACCCGGTTTTATTTACTTGTGCTAAAGACTGACACGTGTTCTAGGCTGCATTTGTGGGGATGTCGCCCTCCCTGGGTGTGCCTGGGTGTGATGGTGCATTTGCTCTTGTGCAGACAGGACTTATCCTGGGTCCTCAGTGGATGGCAGTGAGTCAGAAGCAGCAGCCCTGACAGCCTTTTGGCGTGGGTGGCGGGACTGTGACGGGGCCGCAGGCAAAGCCCTGGCAAATTAGGCGGCCCATTGGGCTGAGGAGGCCGACCGATGGGCAGGCTTGCCTATGAGGTGGGGAGCTCCTGAGCCTTTAGAAGGGATGTGAGGCGGGAGGGGTTTGATTCTGGACTTGCTGTATTTGAGGTGTTTGTGGGCTCCTGGTGGAAGGAGTCTAGCAGGCTTGGAAACTAGTTTTGCCTTTGGGAGGGCAGGCAGAACCCTGAGGCAGGGTGGGGCCCCATCTTGGCTGTCCTGATCCCCGAGTATGGAGACTTCTTCTTGTAGGTGAGATGTGAGTCGACCGTCATGCTCTTGCTGTGTGTGCTGTGTGTGAGCATGATGCTGGGCACTGCTGCTCTCTCTCCAGGGCTCAGCCAGGGCAAGGGCAGCTGGCGGGCATGGGCCAGAGGGCAGGGGTAGGGGCAGGGGGCAGGGGCAGGAGCAGGGACAGAGGCTTCCTCAGGGCCCACTCACTAGCACACACTTGGCCTGGGTGAGCTCAGCCACACAGGAATCAGCTGCCGTCTGATAGGGAGCTCGGGAGGGCTGCTAGGGAGAGCAGCATGGACGGTCCCTGTGTCCGTGCGGTGCCATGGTCCAGGAGTGACCGAGAGCGCTCTCGGTCTGAGGCTCCGGAACTCTTCTGGGGCTGTTTCACTGGGAGCAGGCCTGGGCCTCCCGAGTGCTGACAGAAACCTGCAAAGGGCTGATGCTGCGCCTCTCTCGACGCAGGTTCTGTCCCCGGTGTGTCCAGGAGCGCAGGAGGAGGAAGTAAGGAAGAGGCGGAGCCGGCAGGAGAGCGAGCTGAAACACTCCTCTGGTCACGCTGCAGTGTTTTACCTTCACCTTAAAACTACCTTGTTTTGAATATTTAATAACTCAGTGGCCAGTTGTAATTCTGGATATTTCCTAAAATCAACAAGAACCCACCTGAGCCCTGTTTGCACCGAGGAGGATCTCAGGGCACTTGCCAGTGACTTGTTCTCGTGACTGTTGTACAGACCCCGGCACTGAGCACGGCGGTCCCACAAGGAACCCGTGTGGCTCCGTGGGTGTGTGCGTGCGGCATGCTGGGTGCAGTGGGACCTGCCAGCTGGGAGCAGACACTGCCATCACTTTGCAGCTAGAGGTGTGAGCCTTGCGTGGTCTGCAGTTTCCTGGGCTTCCCCCGGAGAGCCCACGCCACTGGTGTACATCGTCCACGCCGTGTACACGGTCTGTAGTCTGGTGGGCATTGCCGGAAGGCGCCCTCCTGCGCTCTGAGCGGCAGCTGCGCAGAAAGGGCTGCACTCCCCAGGAGGAGCTCTACTTGGCTGTGCACTGCCCTTTAATCTGAACTGCCAGCTCCTAAGGTTTTACTGTCTGGAGTAAACAGCTCTGGATTGGTAGACGGCCGTCAGTGCCACCACCAGCACCAGTGGGTGATGGCATGACAGACTGGCTGATGTTCCGTTTCTCTGGGAATTCCGGATGTTTTTACTGTGAAGACAAAATTATTGTAATTGCATGAAGACAGTGGGTCTGTGTGTGAAGTGAGTCCAGTCTACTGAGAGCCGATTTTGAACCTGTTTCTGTGACACTGGGCCAGCACCTTGTCTCCCAGGGGATACAATTATGTGATGTGATTTGTGAATTTCTTGTGCCACATTGAAGTTCTGGAATGATGCTAGGAAACTAGAGTGTGCTTTCTGTTTAACCAGTGTTCAAACCGATTTTGAACCGTCTCTTTGGTACTCGGGGACATCGCATACATTTGGTATGTTGAGATCCACTTGTGACGGTACCTGCAGTGTGACCTCTGGGAGTGCCCCTGGACTCTCCGAGACCCACCCCGCGCGGTTCAGACAAGTCAGGGTTCCTCTTGCTAGAAAAAGAAACCTGGGAGATGGGATTGAGGTGTGAAGTGACCAGCATCCGAAGCGTCTCTTCTCTGGGGTGAGGAGAGTCTTCTGGAGTGGTCCGTCTGCTTCCTCCAATGGCCTCGTGTACCACGTCCTCTCTTGGCTTCCAGTATTTCACCAAGGAGAGGGAACGAGGCAGAGGAACTGGTGAAGCTGCGTCCTAGACCGGCCACTGCCGGCAAATGAGTTAATATTCAGCTAACGAGAGCAGATGTCAGAGGGCAGGAGGGTCCACTGGAATCTGCGGTTCTCAGCGAGTCTTATCCTGTGCAGGTTGTGTCCAGACTGCTGTCCTTTCCAGAGCCACCCAAGGGAGCAGGACTTGCTTCCAAATGACTGCAGGCGGGTCACTCCAGCCTGTGTGCCCCTTCCAGTCTCGGGCTGGTGGTTAGAGTGGGGGTCAGCAGCTGCCTTGGCCTGTCCCTGGTGGGTCCAGGCCTGATGCGCTTTCTTAGAACCCATGTCTTCCTGCTGCTCAGGAAGAAGTTGGGAGCGCACCTGAGACTCAGACTCGGGAACACGAGGCCCACTTATATTTAGTTACTTAGCTCTATGTTACAGGTGTTCAAAGGTTGTGGGGAATCAATTGTGGAAATTTTTTCTTCACTCTTTCACTAGTTTTTGCGGAGGGGATGGGTAAGTACAGTAAGCTTGTGGTGGTTCTTTGGGAGCTGATTGAATGTTTGCATGTCATTTTTGAGCACACCCACTTGCTACCGAACACAGTGGTTTGTGGGTGCAGGTTGGTGGCTGGCTAGTTTTGATGATCACCTGGTTTTCTGAGGCCGCGCTTATTTCCCAGGAATGACGACCAGCATTGGTCTTAAGCTTTTGTTTAAAATTCAGTGTTGTCATTCTGCTTGTCACTGTGTAGCATCCTGTGTGTCGATTTTTTGTAAGTTACTGTGCTTATCGGTTTCTAGTGTTTACTTTTGCCAGTTACAATAATATCACCAAAATAATATGCAGACAGCTTTGAAGAAAATGGAAAATGCGAGCATGATAGATCCCTGGGGATGTTGTTTGGATGATGACTGGACGCCATTCCTGACCTTTAATACCATCCGAGTCAGAACGACGGAAGAGTGGCTGTCTGGTTGGGAGAGAATGTCATGCCCCCTGGCCAGCTCTGGCCCCACAAGGACGAGTGGAGCACACAGAGCTGTATTCCCCACGGCCTGACTGCCCACATCTGATCCTGGGGACAGCTGTGGCGCCAACCTCGTCCCTTCGGTTGCAGGATCTGGGCTGGGCCCAGCGGGTGAGGGTGCGGCCCCTATGGCCAGGGTTTACTGGTAAAGGAAGAAGTATCTTGCTTGGAGGAGAAGCTGAACCGTTTTTTCTTGTTCTCGGTGCTGTGTGCTCAGCCAGCGCTTGAGAGACCTGCCCAACAGGACACATCTGCACAGACAGTTCGTTAAGCTGAGTCTCACATCTCTGGCTGTGCTAGTGGAGCTGTTGGCTGGGGCTGCCTGTGTGACTGTCTCCACTGTGCAGGCTGGGCCCCAGGCAGGTGGGTGTGAGACAGACTGGCCAGGGCTCTGGAAGCTGGGTGCGCAGCTGTGTGCACCGTAATGGCTTGGTGTGCTGGGGTGCGTGGGGACAGCAGCCAGCTGTGTGTCGGTGCTGTTCCAGGCTGCCACCTGCACTTGCCTCCTGCCCTGTTCCTGGCAGCGCTTGGCAGGGGCTGCTTTGAGCAATAACACTGTCCACATGCCATAGCCAGGGCCTGCCCCGTCGTAGGATTCAGAAACTTCTCATGGGCATTGCAGAGTTAAGGTTTTCCTCAGTTCTTAGTGAACAGTGATTAGTTGTCATTACCTGTGTGAGAGGCATTTAAAATGGGAAGAAATGTTCTCATTCAGGATACAGTCCTCTGAAGTGTCTTTCTCCCTACGTATGTGTTCTGTGGTGGTTACTTTTACCACATTTCATCCAAAAAGATGATGCAGCTTTAACGTGAATGTTACCTTTTATTTTCAAGGAATTATTATCTATGTTCCCTTTGTAAAGGAAAGATATTGTAAATCTTTTTATTAAATAATGTAAAGATGTATATCTGTATTTTTGGATCATGTTATAGATTATGGATATATTGTTTAATAAATAAAGTATTTTTTGGAACAAACATTAGAGAACACATCATTTTGGGAAATGATACACTCCAGCGTTGTGTCCAGAGGTGATGAGTACATCCTGCGTTGAATTTTGAAGGGGACGTGAGGTGAACTGGAGGAGAGTTGTTTGCTTGCCGTGAGCCTGGGTAGGTCCCTGGCCTCACCTCCACCAGTGACCAGCTGTGGGCCCCAGCTGTGTTGTAGAGTCAGAAGCTGGTTCCCAGGCTCACAGAAAGACATGTGGATAAGAGTGCTGTGAGCTGCTGTATGGAGACTTGATGTGCTTTGTCTGGAACAAGTTTGCCATCAAGACCTGCGGGGGTGTCAGGGCCCCTTTGGGGACCAACTATTTCTTAGGACATTCCCTGAGAGTTAACAGTGTTAATGTAAGAAACATTCAGACCTGTGAAGAATTTTTTTGGTGAGTTTATTTGAGCTGAACTATGGACAATTGCTGGCAAGCAGAATCTCAACAGGTTGCTCCTGAGAATGGCAGTTCTGCACCTGGCTTTATAGGTTACAATCAAAGGAGAAGACACAAGTGGGTTACAGGAAATCCACTGGTGATAGATTAGGGAGGTGGGAGAAAACAAAGAGAGGAAACCTCTGGGATTGGATAGAAAGTAAAATGATAGACCCTTCTTTTACTTAGGTGGGTGCAGGATAGTTAACAGTCAACAGTTAACTAGATAATAATAACAATGAGATGATTCCTGGTCTATGCCCTGGTGCAGAGGGCCCAGAAAAAGGGTAAGTTACTTTGTTTTGCAAAGGCCTGTGTTAATCAGGTATGTTATCTCAGATGCAAATACAAGCTGAGGGGCCTAGTTGGGGTGAAAATTAACCTTTGTGAAGGAAAAATACTGCCTTAGGACATGACTACCCTCCATAAACTGCTTAAGTTTAAAAAGTTTTAATTTCAAACCATCCTTTGTGGTTATTTTAAGTCTCCATGCAAGCCTGCCCTGCGCTCGCTTTTCAGGTTTAGTATGTAGCCCCTTTTCCCCCACAACAGTCAGGGTCCAGAAACCCAACGTGGTCACCACAATGGAAAGGCACAGCCTCACTTTCCAGGTGAAAACCATTCACAGATTTGGAGTCTACCAGGCTGTCCCTTTCCAAGCACTCCAAGGGCACCTGCAGCCATTCCTTTGGGCGACCCTGGTTAGAGGAAACACCAGCTCTTTGTTTTGGGGTAGGGGTGGCAATCCTCAGTGTTTCTGAACTGGTACTGAAACCAGACAGTAATGGGTCCTGGCTGCCTGTCACCACTTGAGCCATTTAAGCAGAGACAGGGTTGAATGGTATATGAGCGTTTATTCCAATATTGCCAGCAATATGGGAGAGCAGGGGGTCATCCATGAAAATCTGCACTAACCTGCCCCCCATAAGCCAGTTGCTTATATTGGGCAGAAGGACAAAGATCACGTGGGAAAGTAAGAAGTAGGAGTTAACAGGCATGGGGAAGTAGGCAAGGTATAATGGTCCCAGGTTACAGGTAGTGGGGGCTGGGGGTTTGCAAAAGGGTGGGGCACCTCCAGGTACCCTTTGTTTGGGTGGGGGGAGGTTATCTTTCCAAGAAAAGGAGATAATGGACCAAGGTAAACTCCCATGTCCTGGGGTGCACAACTCCCTGCCAGGTTAGAAAGTGCTTTTTCTAATTAGAACAATCAGTTAACAAAACATTAACGTTTCTTGTAACCACAGCTAACATTCATGGTTAACAGAGCATGATTCATATTTCTGCTCCCAACATTACTAGTCCCCAGAGGTCCCAGATGCCCCTGGTCGACTGGTCAGAGTGAGGGCCTACGGGGTAGGGTCATAGGGTGGGAAGTCAGGTTAGTCTGAGTGGCTGTCTTCCCAGGGCCTGCCTGCATCACTGAAACACCTGATCGCTGACAGGATTCCTGCAGTGACTGACCTGTGAGCAGGGGCCCTGAGGGCAGCAAGGGCTAGGTGGAAGTATCCGGGTCACCCTGTCTTCTCCCTGCCCAGACCTCGAGGCAAAAGCAAACACATCCTTGGCAGGAAGGTGCCATGGGATGTACTTAACACCCCCAATTTACAGCTGCAGCAGTGTTGCCCGAGCACAGCGGCACTCTTGGACCCCTGGCAAGGGCCCTGCTGTTCTGGGCAATGCCGTCAGTGCCCCTCGAGTCAGGATGCTGTGAACACTCTTGCTGTCTGTCGTCAGCTGGCCACAGCGCCCCATCGTCGGGACACCACAGAGTACCCCTCCTGTGAGCCTCACGGAGGACGCTGAGAACTGGAGATGCCTCGGCAGGACCCATGGGAGCCAGAGGGCGGGAGGTGAACCCTACTCTGGTACCAGGACTGGAGCAGTCAGGAAAGTGGAACTGGCGGGCCCAGGGAACAGCAACTGCAGGAGGCACCTGCCACCCCCGAGCCTGGAGGCCGAGGGAGGAAGCTGGAGTTTCTGGGTCCCGCAGGGCTGGGCACAGCTGGTGGGGAAGGTGCCTGCAGCTGGGACTCAGCCGCCCGGGGAGTGGGTGCTACGTGGCCGGTGGCACCGGCCCTCGGGGAGCAGAGGGAGTGTGTGCGGAGACCCCTGCTGGGCGGTGCCTGACGCGGGTCGAGGCCCCCCAGG